TTTTTTTTTTTTTTTTTTTTTTATATTAAGAACTGTGGTTTATTTGTTTATAACAATTTAATGAAAATTATTTGTTTATAATTTTTTAATAAAAGTTAATTAATGTCCATAATTTTAAAATATAATATTTAGAATATAACTAAAAAATGGATAATATCAATTAACCTTTTTATGATATTGTTTATTATTTTATAATTTCAAATTATAAACTTCAATTTTTATTCTAATTAATCCTACATTTTCTATTTTATTATTTGAACAATGTTTGTCGGCGTACGTTCTACTTTCAAAATAGTTTGGTTTCATTTGTTTTTATTTTTATATTTTATTTTTTGTGGATAACATATTTAACTCGTTCATATACCATACAATTGATTTTTTTTTTATACTAAAATGTTTAAATTTTATTTTAACAGAAATAACATACTTTTACTTATATCTTGTTCGATGGATGTTTGTTGGTGTTCGTTCTACTTTGAAAAAGCTCATTTTCAATTGTTTATTTTTAGAACACATTTAACTCGTTATTATACCATACAGTTGAATTTATATACAGATACTAAAATTATTTCAGTTTTGTTTTAATTAAAATACCATACATGTTATCTGATAGTACATATTCAAATATTAGTTTTCAACATTCTGTAATTTATCTCTCGTCATTTTTATAAAGCAAAATTTCACATTGGTAAATAATTAACATCTATAATTACATATAATTATATTGTTCAATAATAGTTTATATAAAAATATAAAAGTGTAATATTAATTAAAAAAAATATAAGAGTGTAATATTAATTAAAAATAAGTGGAAACATGTGGACCCATAAAAAAAGGTTTATGGAGTTTTATTTGAGGTTTATGAGTGGAGGAATAAGAATGAGGTTTTGGATAACGTGGCGTATGGAGAAGTGTAAAAGTAGGTTTATAGAGTTTTGATAAAAATGGGTAAATTGCACAAAACCCCCTTGTATTATATTCTGCGCGTTATTCCTCTATAATTTAAAAATTGCGTCAAACCCCCTTGTAATATACTTTTGCATGCGCGAAGCACCCTAAACCGTCTAAGATAACAGAAGTGGTGTGCACGCGCGTGCTGTGAGGCTTTTTCTTCATTTTTCCACCCCAAAGTTGCAGAAATTACTGTTTTACCCTTGAATTATGTGGAAAACCTAAATGGTATGAATGTGAGCAACAAGATTTGAACCTGGGTTGGAAAGGAAGGAATGGCCGCTCAACCACTGGGCCATATTGGTGGATGTGTAATCTATTGAACCTAAATATATCTATACATCATACTGAAATGAATTAAATAGTTTAAAAAAAATAAATAAATAAAATAAAAGGATATTTATATTATAATATAAATAATATATATATATATTATATATTATATTATAATATAAATAATATATATTATATACTATATATAAATAATATATTATAATATATAATATATTTTATATATATCATTATAATATAATCTATATAATATATATATATATATTATAATATAATATATTTTATATATATTATTAATATTATAATATAAAATATAATATATATATATATATATTATAATATAATAATATTATAATATATATATATATAATATATTACATATATTATATATTAATATATATATTATAATATAATAATATTATAATATATATAATAAATTACATATATTATATATTATATATATTATAATATATAATATAATATATTATTTATTATATACATTATATATATAATACATATTATATTATATTATATAATATTATATATATATATATATTATATACTATATTATATTATATAATATATTATATATATTATATTGATATAGTCATACTATCGCATATCGGTTCATACTATCTACGATTTCAGAGATTACCGAGTCGACTTAGCCAAAGTCGACTCTCTCCGCAGACTCCCTATAATATCTCTGGTCAGGGGTCCAGGCGTCTCTCGGTCGACTTCCACGTGTCGACTAGAATAAGTCGATTTCCTCGGAAAGACGGATAAGCGCATCAGGGTCTACCAATGACTGAAGATGACCCTGTCGACTCGAGTCGGAATCCCGAGTCGACTGGAGAAGTCCCGAGGCTCATAGATCCCCGGCGATTCGATACACTTCGATATATCATAGGAAAGCTGTCAAGGATAAGAAGGAAGCTACTAAGGATAAGGAGAAATCTAAATGCTGACTAGGAGAGGGGCGGAATGCGAACCGACCAGGGTATTTTGGGAACTTCAGGTAAGTCGGCCAGGGCATTTTGGGAACTTCAGGTAAATGCCCTGCTTCTATATAAAGGAGCTGAGGTAACCCCAAAACCCTAACTCCCATTCATTCCATACTCTTCTCCATTACTGCTGCTCTCTCAGAGCAGCTCTCTTCCTCTCTTTCATATACTGACTTGAGCCTCGGAGGCTCTACGCCGGAAACACCTCCGGCGTTCAGTTCTTGCAGGTTTTCTCGTGGTTCAACAACGGTTTAGAGGCTATCGAGTCAGATCTGAGCTCATTCCCATCGGTTCATTCCAGATCTGGGCAGTTTTCCATCGGTTCGCTCCAGATCTGAGAGGAGACCCATCATTTTGGCGCCGTCTGTAGGAAGTTCTTGAAGGAATTAAGAGCTTTACACCTAGTTCCGATCTGTTTCCGATGGCCGAGAAGGAAGGACTGCAGAGAAACTTGAACGAGGATTTCAGGGGAACGTGGACAGATAAGCGACCACCGACGATCCCCTGCCCTAGACCACCGCTCCAGATGTTGGGATTTCTACCGTTCGGGATTCACGTGCCGACGGGAGGGCGTGCGGGAGAAGAAACGCCTATTACCCCACCTGGAGTCAAGATCCCTGTGCTTACTCAAGGGAAGGCCAGCCACGTGAAAAACACGAGCGGAGAAGTCAACGGTCACGCATCAGTCGAGACGTCTCTGGGGTTGGAGAAACAGCCTGGGCCGCTAGAGCATGGAACAAGACCACCACCTCAAGTCGAGGAGCAAACATTAACCCTAACGAGAAGCGAGATGCAAAGAATGATTGCGGAGGCAGTAGCGGCCCAGGTCAAGCAGACGCAAGTCGGGCAAGCCAGAATCGAGGGGCTTCAAAATGAACAACCACCCCCTGAGCGAGAACAGCAAGCGCAGTCGCAGGAAAGGCAGAACAGGAGAGCAGATGAAGAGGAGTCCTCTGTTAGGACTGTCAATCCACAAGCGAGGAACGACACCCTGGAGCAGTTGCTAGCTCAGGTGCGAGATTTGCAGGCTCGAGTCGAGGGGAGAAAAACGGGAAGCTCGAGGGGATACCCTTTTTCACAACATATTCTAGACGCTGACTTGCCTCAGGGTTTCAGAGAGCTTAACATCTGGTATGATGGGTCGACTGATCCCTCTCGACATCTGAGGAGTTTCGAAAACATGGCAGTACTGCACCGCTACAATGACCCCGTTCAATGTCGAGCGTTCCTGACGACTCTGCGAGGACCTGCGAAAGACTGGTTTCATCAGTTGCCCCCAGGAGCCGTCAGGGACTTTGACGGATTTAGCTCAAGTTTTCTAAACCAATTCACAAGTGTAAAGGCCCAAGAAAAGTCTTACCTTACTCTGATAGGCATGCAACAGAAAGAGGGAGAATCATTGAGGGATTACGTGGCGAGATACACGCGGGCGTGCGTCGACGTCCCCTCAGCCACGGAGGAAATCAAGTCGGGTGGACTCACTAGAGGACTCCTCCCGGGATTGTGCAGAAACTCCTTAGCAAAATGACCCGGGAGGACGTTCGATGAGGTTTTAGGAAGGTGCGCCAAATACATGAATGTCGAGGAAGCCGAAGCCGACTTTTGCAAGCGGCTAAAGCAAAAACTGAATCCCGGGACGAGAAGA